TCCTTGTGATAAGAACAAATTACGGACAAAGCTGTACCTCTTCCTGGAATACCCCTATACCTTTGGTGGTCCTTGTGATAAGAACAAATTACGGACAAAGCTGTACCTCTTCCTGGAATACCCCGCCCCTATACCGGTGGTGGAACTCCCCCACTCCCTCTTACTGTGTGTATAACTACCCTGAGCTTGCCTTCAATAAACGAGACTTGATCAGAAAGCCTGTCTTGTCTCCATTTCCTGTGTCCCCTGCTCCCCTCCTTCTTTTACAGGTCCGGACCTCCGTTGATGTCCCGCAGGACAGGACAATTTATTTATTATAGTAATCAAACTTCACACCCAAAAAGATAAATGACTGAGGTAGAAACAAAATCGCACCAATAAGGATTAATTTGAAAGAAATATGATGACTTATAAAAAGAAAATTCCCCTGAATGTTCACCAGTAATAACTGAGTTTGTGCATATCCCTTTCCTCCTCCCCTCATTGTGTCTTGGTACCTGACAGATCATATAGTCTAGTTTTAATACAAATCTAATCATCTAAGCTCTGATACTTATCAAATAGACTATATCTTTTTAACCAACCTTAGCCCTGTGGTTTATGAGCTTAAGAGTTTCAGAGTTCCCAACAGTGATCTGTTCTGACTCAATGCAATTAAAATGCAAAACCACATTTGAATCACCAAAGTTATGCCTTATGCCAAATAAATAAATAAATGCCTGCACTGTGCAAGACCGAGCAAGAAACTAATCACGAACAGTGATGATCTCAACCCCATGGAGATAAGTACCATTATTGTTGCTTTAAAAACAGCCTTGCTGTTTTGAAACAGCATATTTACTTGTTATATGGTAAAATGAAAAACAAAAGTAGTCCTGCTTATCAGAGTAGTGTACTTTGGGTAATGGGACAAAATTGTTAGACTCTACACAGATTAAGGAAACATGACTTTAAATATTTCTTCTACATTTTGGTCAAGGCATGCTTTACGGTAGCTGAATCATGATAAAAGTGATACACTCTATTTAAATTCTAATTTTTTCCCTTATCACAAAGTCATATTTTGTTTTTTATTTTCTTTTTTATAATTGAACATTATAAACATAAATTGAACATTATAAACAAACACTTTGAATTCTTTAACACACAAAGAAAAACAAAAAAAAAAAGGAGATGCTGTAGACATCTTTGATGTCCAGTTTGGTTTTTTCCCTGTGTATATGCTGGGGGTTTTATTGCAATTCAAATATAACATGGCAGTTCCCAAAACTGCTCAGCTTCTCTGTGTCCCTCTCTGGACCTCTTTCTATTTTCTGTTGTTTATTTTTTAATTATCCATTGACATTTTTTATTGTTTTTTAGTATCACTATCATTTTCCCCACCTCTCTCTCCCCACATAAAAAATTAAAAGCACTGTCTTATGACAAAAGAATATAGTCAAGCAAAATAAATTCATCTCTAGGCTATATCTGAAAATGTATGTCTCATTCTACATACCTAGTCCTGCCAGCAAAAGGGGGTCTGGCACATGTCTCTTCATGTGGTGATTGCTAGGGAGATTGCTTCCTAAAGAAAGAAAAAGTTCTCCTTCTTTCCCTTCCACCATCACCCCACAGTGAAAAGGAAATAAAAATAAATCTATAATAAATAGGCATAGTCGAGGTCAACAAATTCCTGCATTGGCCACATCC